TCTTTCTTAAAGTCCATTCTCAGAAGACTTATTCAAAAGCCCATGAGAAATCAAAACTTGTATCATTAACTTACTGTTCACTGAATATAGACCTATGCAATATAATTGCATATCATATAGTTTCTTACTGCCAGTTAAGTTGGTTGAAACAAATAAAAATAAAGCATCTAATGCAAAGGTTCAAAAGCATATGATAAAGTTAGGGGATAGAACATAATAGGAATGGTGAGTCTGAATTTCTCAGATATATCAGTAGATTTAAGATTCGTTCTAACCACACAGAACATTGATCATCAGTATAGACAACTTAATGAAAGGATTTTTTTTCAATGCACAGCAGTATTCAAAACCACAAGAATCATTTTGGTATGTTTAAAACCAGACAGAAAATAATACATAAAACATCACATTTTTTGCATCACTACTAAGTTTCAGAAGAAATATAGATTTCGGTATCAGTTGTCTTAAAATTTATGGCAGAAATATGCAACAATAAAAAGACACAAATCTCAGATATGGGTAATTATTAAAAGCTAAGGAAGGATTTTCTTTAAGTAAAGTTGCCTATTTTAGCAAGGAAATAGAAGCAGCATTTTATTATCCTGTTTAGAGTTTTTCATAGTTTAAGTTCTTGAGATTGAGATGTTGAACATTCACATGAGCAATGAAGACATGCAGTTGCAGTTTTAGATATGGTGCAGTTTGAAGAGGTTATTTAATAGCTCATGCTTCAGGTCTTATGTCAACAAATACTGACTTCGAATAAGAAAGAAAAGAGTACTCTGGCAAATTATTTCATGACTGACTATTGCATGGATTATTTTTTTCCTTCTATGATTTCTTTAGAACCATACAGTGAGTGGTAAGCTACTATACTATTTAGAGGAGTGGTATAGTCCATCTCTGTACTCTCATTATTCTCTGAACATAAAAGTATTAAGCATTAACTGCATTAGGAAACTAAAATAATAATACAAATCTGTATTAAAAGAGTATTAGACTTAACAGTTATCAATGCAAAAGTCAAAAGATTCAGAATTATAATTGGATGATTAAAGTGTTAGTTGGAAGGGGCGTCTGAAGGTCATCTAGTTCATCTTCCTGTTTGGAGCAGGACTGTTGTCATCAGATCAGACATGACTTTTCCTAGCCAGGTCTTGAAAACCTCCAAGGATGGAGATGCCAACTCTCTGGATAGCCTGTTCTAGGGCTGCAGTGCAGCATGCAACACTGCTTGCTTCTTAACCTTTATCATGACCGTGTAGTATTTTTTTCCTGACAACCCCAGGCTTTTTCATTGCCTAATATAGATGTGGTTTGCATTGCTCAAAAGCATGTGGTGAAAAAGCCATAGCTATGAGATCTTTGCTTCCTTTGTCATATAATTAACAAAGCTCTTAGTTAAAGCAAAAGGTATCAAAGAAAAGTTTTATTTAGTAGTATAGATGTAGCAAAGATATTAGTGAAGGTAATGTAGACATTAGTGAAATCCTTGCAATCCAGGTGTCTGTAAGCTTTTATTTTTCCTGATTTAGTCTTCTTTCTTCCTTTGTCCTGACAAAAACATTTATCTCTTAAGTAAGTTCAACAGACAACTGCTAAAAGTAATCTCTGGAACAGCAGAATAGAATTCAGTTCATGATTAAGATATCTAAATGTAGGTACCTGAATGCAAACTGGATGCCATCTCCCATTGTAGTCATTGGCAGTCTAGTCAATACAGTTAACAGAGTACAGGGAGTGATTGAGCTGACCAGCCACAACGTACAGTGAGTGGCATCACTCTCTAGGATCCATTGACTTTATCAACCTGATCTCTGACTATGGTGGGAGCTTACATACTTCTTACCTATGTAGATATGTAAAATGAGATGCCTTAATCTGGAGCTGAATCCCGGCTACTGAGTTTTTCATGTAAGGGAAAAACACCAAAGTCAAACATTATTTGCATAATTATTTATTTTTCATTTTAAGTTCATCTTAAAAATTGTAGACATACAGTTAATTCAGCAACTTTCAGAAATCAAAGAAAGTGAGAATGTCCCATGTCCTTCTTTTCCCCTGCTTTTTCCTCCCAAACCGACTTCTCTGGCATTATTGATTCCTTAAGCTCTGTCATGTCCCACATTCAACCTTTCACCCTAACACCCCACATCTTTGCAGTTGCAAAATTTCTTAAGTGTATACTCTAGTCAGTTGTTTCCCAAAGAAGAAAAGTAGACTTTCTTAGGTTGTACTCTTAATCTTGATTAGAATTTTATCCTGGTATTTTAACAAATGAGAAAATCATGTAATTTTACACTTTTAAGCTGCTGATTAGTGAAAGAGCTGATGGTGTTTTGAAGTACACACCAAAATCTTCTGTCATTCATACAATGAAATACTGCCTCCTTTTAGAATTGATATTTTGAGATTTTTGGGGTTTTATTACAAGCAGATATTTTAGCAAATAGGAGGAAACTGTTCAATTTCTTTGAAAATTATGACATGACACTCACTATGCTTGATTACTTCTGGTAGCTAGTGCTGTGCATACAGTCCTGCAGTTTGAGTCTACATATGAACATACAACTTCTAGCAG